CCCTGCAACCCTGCCAGCTGTTGACTCCAGTCAGAAAAATGCCTGTGCCTGGCTCTGTCAGGCCGGGGCTGAGGACACCCTGGGAGGGAACAAGCTTTTTCAGAGTCAGGGATACATAGTTTCAGATCTCAGCTCTGCAGGTTCCTTGTTGCTGCTGTACTTAAGTCGCTCTGCCTCAGTGTATCACAGTTGCCACCACCCATCTTCCCCAAACCTCTCTGACCTTCCATGGTCCCCATTTCAGCGACATTGCCATCCACTCAGTGTTCTCACTACAAAACTTCTGCTCCCTTTTTCTCCCTAATACCAAGATGTCCAGTCTTGGAACCAGGTCTTGTTGATTCTGCTTCTAAAATGTTCCCGTATCAGGCACCTCCTCATTCCCAACTGCTGCCACCCTAATTCAGGTCTCAGCACCTCTCACCCTACCCCATGCCACCTGCATTACTGCGATGCACAGCTTTTCCAGCTGTTTCTGCATGGACCGTGTTCTGATTGGTCTGTGCTTTACCAGCCTGGTTGTAAAATCATACTGACATTTGCTGTATCACTCCTGCACTGGCAATGTTACCTGTCCCTCTGCAGCAGCCTCCTGCCAGTCTCCCTGCCCTTGGCCACCCCCTGCCCCACTCTGTAGGTTGTCCTTTGTATCCCGCCAGGTTCATCTTTCTAAGTGAGAGCTCTGGTCGTCCCACTTCCACGGTTAAAAACCTCTGATGGATCTTCATGTTCTGTAGTAATGATCCCCGTACTTTTTGTGTTATACACACTCTTGGGAAAAATATTTTGTTAAGAAACTCCCAATGTAGATATACCTATTTATTTATGTATTTATTTAGAGACGAATTCTCTCTGTAGCCCAGGCTGCAGTGCAGTGGTGCGACTCCCAGCTAATTTTTGTATTTTTAGTAGAGATGGGGTTTTGCCATGTTGGCCAGGCTGGTCTCAAACTCCTGACCTTAGGTGATCCACCTGCCTCAGCCCCATAAAGTGCTGACATTACAGGTGTGAGTCACCACACCTAGCCAGTATACCTATTTATAACTTATGTGTGTCTACTGTAGCAGTATATTATTTACATTATAAACTATACCCAAAATAGAAAATTTTCAAGTATAAAGTTAAAAACAAATCAAAATTCTAATATTTTCTTCCCACATCCCAGCAGATTATATTGTAGATTCCCTGGGATCCACCTTTCTCTCCTTTGGAGACCCCAGGGTACAGGATACAGCCCGGACTTGGCCAATGCCAGCTCTGGTATTGTCTGATGTGCACCCTGAGGTCCTAATTGTCTTTTCTAGCCTCTCATTTCATTACTCCTTCTCAGTAGTGCTCCCCTGCTGCCAAAGTCAAACACATACAGTCCTCCCAACACAGGTGAGGCCTTTTTACTCACCTTTAGTAGCCAACCTCTGATTCTGTCCACACCTTTCAATCCTTTCATTGTAACATGATTATCATAAAAATACATGTAAGACAATGGCCTTAAACAAATAGAAATTTGGTGTGTGTAAAGTTGGTTCCTTATAACTCAAGCATCAGAAAACTCTAACCACAGCTTCACTATCATTTGATTTTTCCCCGCCCCTCCATACTCTCTATAAGGGTTTGGATGACTGGAAACCCATCAACTTCCATCCCCAGTAGATTTGGATTTTCCCAAATGTCATATGAAAGAAATCCTGGGCCAGGCGCGGTGGCTCACACCTGTAATCCCAGCACTTTGGGAGGCCGAGGTGGGCAGATCACGAGGTCAGGAGATCGAGACCATCCTGGCCAACATGGTGAAACCCATCTCTAAATAAATAAATGAAAGCAAGTCTGGCCAGGTGTGGCGGCTTGTGCCTGCAGTCCCAGCACTTTGGGAGGCCGAGGTGGGCAGATCACGAGGTCAGGAGATCGAGACCATCCTGGCCAACATGGTGAAACCCATCTCTAAATAAATAAATGAAAGCAAGTCTGGCCAGGTGTGGCGGCTTGTGCCTGCAGTCCCAGCACTTTGGGAGGCCAAGGCAGCTGGATCACCTGAGGTAAGGAGTTCAAGACCCACCTGGCCAAGATGGCAAAACTCCATCTCTACTAAAAATATAAAAATTAGGCGTGTGGTGACGGGCACCTGTGGTCCCAGCTACTTAGGATGCTGAGGCAGGAAGATTGCTTGAACCTGGGAGGAAGAGGTTGCAGTAAGCCCAGATCACACCATTGCACTCCAGTCCATCTCAAAAAGTAATAATTTAAAAAAATCCTGTAGTATGTAGTCTTTTGAGTCTGGCTCCGTTCACTTAGTCTAACACAGTGGAGATTGATTCATGGTGTTGTGTGTAAGGCATTCATTCCTTTCGATCGCTGGGTAGTCTTCTGCTGTATGGGTATACTGCAGTTTATTCACTCATCAACTGAGGACTATTTAGGTAGTTTCTAGTTTTTTGGAGAGTATTAATAAAGCTTCTATAAACATTTGTGGTCATAGAGCTGAAAAGAAATGAAAATGAAAGAAGAAAGGCTGGGCACCATGGCACGCACCTGTAATCCCAGCTACTCGGGAGGCTGAGGCAGGAGGATCACTGAAACCCAGGAGTTTCAGATCAGCTTGGGCAACGTAATGAGACCCTGTCTCACAACCACCACCCTATGATCTTATCCATTCTTACTTAAAATGGGGAAATTGGCTGGGTGGTTGAGGAGGTTGAGGCTGCAATGAGCCATGATTGTGTCACTGCACCCCAGCCTGGGCAACAGAGTGAGACCCTGACTCAAAGTGGGAAAATTGAGGCCCATAGACCTTATCCAAGGTTACGTGCAGAGTTGAAGGCAGAGCTGGACGTGGAATGCAGGACTTTTGCCCCTTAGTTTCTCAGTATCCCACCTCTTTGGGCTCACACTAAACTGGAAGACAGAACCTACATCCAGATTTCAATACCTAGATCCACCAATCTGGAACAAAAGTTAAGACTGTGCTGTGCCCTGCAGCGCTGCAGACCTTTCAGAAGTTCACTGACTTTGGTTTTGCACCTCCAGGTCTGATACGTGGCGCCTGGTGAACCCACCAGCACGGCCCCACCTCGAAAACTCTCTCAGATGCCCCTCAGCAGCCCACAATGGGCAGAAGGTGACAGCCATGGCAACGAGGATCACAGCCCGCGTGGAAGGTGGTTACCACAGCAACCGCAGTGTCTTCTGCACCATCCTGTGAGGACAGACCTGTGTGCTCCCCGTAGGTAGGGCCACATCTGTGTGTCCCCAGATCCCAGCCTGGGGCTGGGGTGGGATTAGTGGCCTGAGGAGAGGAAGGCCAGCTCCCAAAGGACTTTACTGAACCATACTGTGAATGTGTCAAAGTCCCAAAGCCAGGTGAGCTCAGACCCCACAGCTTGAGGAAGGGGGCTGGATGCAGGGCCAGCTCAGCCTGAACAATCCCCTCCCACTCAGCCTTTCCTATGGGGCCCTCACCAGCTTGCAGGGGTCGCTGTCGTGCACTTGGCTGCATGGCTGGTTCTATCGGGCCCTAGGTGCTGCTGTGTTGGGTGTGATGGGAGGGGGTGGAGGGAGCCATGAGCACTGGCTTCTCCCTGAGGACATTGGGCACAAGAGTGCTGGCCTCTTCTATCCCTGGCACTGTCCCTTGCACTTGTTTAGTGGCCCCAATGTGAGTCGCTGTACAAAATGCTGCCTTTACTATTTTCTAAGAAATGACTTTTCTGTGAACCAAAAGTAACAAAAACCTCAATAACCAAAATAAAGTTCTATATTATTTTAAGAGGCATTTCTGGAAGGCTTTCCTTGGTTTGGGCATATACTGGGGCTTATAGGTGGGAGAGTTGTGTCCAGTCATTCCCAGAAATTAAGCCTCAAAGTGTCAAACCCATCTGAAATTTAAAAGTAATCACACATTCTACCCTGAAGATGCATTAGAAGTCCTTTTCTGAGAGATTTTTTCCAAGGAGTTGTCACATACTTGATTTTCATGGCTTAAAGAGGCAAGTCGATTCCCTGTCCATACCTCTGCTGGAGGAAGACAAAGTATGGTCCAAGTAGCACCTGCCTCAAAGCTCAGGCAAGACTCCTTTCTATCGTGACTCCCTAATGGAGGCCCCTAGGTGCTGGGTAAATTTCTCTCAGAAGAGCTGAGCTCGCTCTCCCTCCCTCCCTCCCTTCACTGACCCGGCCTTCCAGGCGCTGAGTAGCACAAATCTCAGCTGCTCCCGCTTGAAACAGGACCCTGGAGATCTGAGGATGGGCCCAGGCCATGTACCTAAGACTTCCTGTGTCACACTCCTGCTGACCCCTGCCTTCTATGTGGCTTCAGCCAGGCAGAGAAGTTGGGTCACCACTTCCTCTGACTTGGCTCCACCCCATTACAACAGGCTGTACCCTACTGGTGTGTAAGAACCCCATCACAATGGTGACCCAGTTAGCTTCTGATAAAGCCTGAAGCATCATTTTCCAGGTGTGCTGAACCTGATCCTCCTTCCTCACCACGTACTCCACTGGCCCTTCCAGACCTAAGCACACCACTTCACATTTCTCCTTGGAAACCTTCATCCATTAGATCTGACTCAGCCTGGGATGGGCACAGTGGCTCACGCCTATAATCCCAGCACTTTGGGAGGCCGAGGTGGGTGGATCACGAAGTCAGGAGTTCAAGACCTGCCTGAACCTGACCAACATGGTGAAACCCCGTCTCTACTAAAAATACAAAAATTAGTTGGGTGTGGTGGCACCCACCTGTAATCCCAGCTACTTAGGAGGCTGCGGCAGGAGAATCACTTGAACCCAGGAGGCGGAGGTTCAAATGACTGATCATGCCACTGCGCCACTGCACTTCAGCCTGGGCAACAGAGTAAGACTCCATCTTGGGGGGCGGGAAAGAGATTTGACTCAGCCTGGTGAAATCTTTGAGCCTGAGCCAGGCCCCACCCTCCCAAATCCCCACACAGGTGAACCAACATGGGAAACTTGTCATTTATAATCACAGCAATAACACCAAAGGAGAGAGATGAAGTCCAACCTGGCCATCACTTTATACCTCTGCATAGGACAGCACAGTGGAGATGCTGGCTTCTGGCTTCATACCTGTGCCAAAGCAACGCTTCTTTTTTTCCTTATTTTACTTTTTAGAGACAAGGTCTCTCTCTGTTCGCCCAGGCTGGAGTGTGACCACGCAATCATAGCTCACTGCAACCTTGATTTCCCAAGCTCAAGTAATTGTCCTGCCTCAGCTGGGATTACAGGCACACACCACCAGGCCTGACTTTTTATTTTTTTATTTTTTGCAGTAGAGACAAGGTCTCCCTATGTTTCCCAAACTGGTTTCGAACTCTTGAGCTCAAGTGATCTTCCCACCTCAGCCTCCCAAAATGCTGGGATTTCAGGTGTGAGCCACCATGCCCGGACCTTTCCTTTTTAAAAAATAAGAATGGAAATGAATAGGACCAGCCTGTGGCTATGATGCAGCCAAAATCTGTCTGGAAAGCAGGCATCTAGGTAATCTTCCTCCGCTTTGACAGGTGGCCTGAGGTCTGGGCGGGAGGCAGCGGGAGGGACAGGGTGCCCAGTTTGTGATCTTCTTCACCACCGGCGGCCACAGACACCCTTCTTTTGGAGATCTTCAGCCTCATGGCTTTGGCTATCTCCATCATCCTAAGGAAGACACAGACAGAACAATCAGAGAGACTCCTCAATGTGACTGTTCAGGGAGGTGTGGCAAAAGGTAGCAGCACATTCATGCTCGAGGCCATAAAGACAGAATCCCAAAGGTTGCCAGCAGGAGCAAAGCCCCAGGCAGAGGGGCAGGCAAGGTCCCCTCACCCACTGGGAGCCATCAGACAGACAATTTCATTTTAATGTGCTGCCCTTCGAAAGATCCATGTGGGTGATGAAAAACCAGAGTATCTTAGAGCCCTATGGACAACTTTCTTTACCACCCATAACCAAATTTTTAGCAATCAGCATTGAGCACTTGCTAGAATTTGACAGGTTCCAAGTACCTGTTCTCTTTTCTCAGCCTCGGTGCCTGTGGGAACACAGTCTATGGACAGCTCTCAGAACAGTCCCTCCATGGACTGCTAGGAGAGTCCAGACAGAGGTGTGTTCACCGGCTCTCCTAGACACAGTCTGGGTCCCTGGATATCACATGCCCCTATATCACTGACAAAGATCAGCTGACCCCACAGTTTAGGTTTCCTGGCAGCTCTGCCCCTAGTGTCTGAATCTCCTCCACAAGGTTAGAGGGAGCCTGAAAGGTCACCCCCACCACCAGCTCTCCCAGTCGGGTCAGAGAAGTGCAAACATGACATCCCTGCCAAACTGTGGTTCCACCTGTCCCTGAACACCTCCCCTGGGCAAGCCCTTCCATCCGATTCTGAGGAAGCTCTTCTTAACTAAGTGGAAGTTGGGTTCTCCTACTACTTCCACCCTGGGCTGCACCCTCAGAACCATATAAAATCCCTCTCCCCAGTGACAGAAATTCAGAGAATGGAAGCTGCTTGGTTATTCAGGGAACAGAATGTTATGAAAAGGCTCATGTCTGAAGTCCAACTGCTCCCCTCTTGGTTGTGTAACTTTGAGAAAGTCATGTACTTTTCTAAACCTGATTCTTCAATTGTTTTCTAGGGAAATCAATGAGATAATGACATAATTTAAGACTGTGCCTTGCAAAGAGAAGGCACTCAGTAATGTCTAGTTGCTCATTCAGTCAATGATTGATTCATTGAAAACAGACCTCTAGTTCCAAGTTGTTCCCACATGTAAAAATCCTCAGTTCCCTTAGTGGCACCTCATGCTTTCCAGTGGTACCAGAAGTAGGACATCAAGGCGCCCTGCAGGGAGCTCTTTATTCTGTCGTGCTCACCTTTTCTCACTGAGCTTCAAGTCCCTCTGTAACATTGTCAGGTCAATTTGGAAGTCATTTATGTGCAAGGCAAGTATGATCACATATGCAGTAATCTTCGCCTTCATAGAATCCGAAATTAAGTTCCGTAAACTAGAAAATCAGTGGCAATGAAGAAACAAAATTAAAGTCTAAGACAATTTCTCCAAAAGCAAAATAAGAACATCCAAGCATATTCCCATATGCACTCAGGAACTAAAGGAAAGGAAAAGGAATGTGGATGGCTTCTTTGCCCTCCCAAGGTTCCTGGGCCTCACACACAGTGGAGCAGTGTGCCGGTCCACATTTCCCTCTGAGGGGGAGAGAGAAAGCTGAGCGTACACGCTCCCTGGGCACCACTAGCACTTCGAGCTGGTGAGGGCCCTCTGAGTCTGTCCCCGCCTGCACAGCAAGGCTGCTGGGAAAACAGTCATTCCCAAATCAACTGTGCTGATTCTTCTAAGCACACCCAGGAGCAGGAAACACATTCCGTGGAGATGGCAGGAAGGAAAGCCCAGGGGCACTGCTTGTGGGTCTTTCCCCAAAGTCCCCAAGTTGGCCTGCCCTTTTATGCAACACTGCCTTTCCGCAGAACACCAGCTCTGTGGGACATCAGGAAGGGCTCCTCAAAAGAAGTATGTGAAGTAAAACAAGTCTCTATTATAGGACTTCACAGAGCTTCTAAGATTCCAAAAAGACAATACCTTTCCAAAAAGAACAGAGTAATATTTAGCGTTTGCTAGACTTACTGGGGCCCCAGGAGACTTCCAAATGGCAGTAGTCTCTTTAGCACTGCATATCTGTGGACATGAAATTGAGTCCAAGCCCCCAGCTCCTCACTCCCCCCACCTGCTTTCCCTTGCACAGGAAAAATCCCAGAAACCACCCCCTGACCTGCCATTGTTGTACGTCAAGCAGGTAAAGTGCTTCAGCAGTTTGGTGTTGATGATGTGGGGAATGTCAGGTCCCAGAGCATCTACAACACAAAGTTAAGTTTGATCATTTTCTCTTAAAACTCTCAGGCCACACCTCAACCATGAGCTGAGAGAAAAGCTCAACAGCTGGGCCTCTGTAATGACCAGAACCAGGTGGTAAAAGAAGCAGGACCCACAAAGAACAGCCATGGCAAAATAAAAACATGCTTGGTGTGCCTCTGCTGGCAGACCTCCCTGCAAGAGTGATGCTGGTGAGGGGCCAGTGACAAGACCACAGCCCGAGGCCTAAGACACAGAATTTTTTTTTTTGAGACAGACTTTTGCTCTTGTGGCCCAGGATGGAGTGCAATGGCACAATCTCAGCTCACTGCAACCTCTGCCTCCTGGCTTCAAGCAGTTCTCCTGCCTCAGCCTCCCAAGTAGCTGGGATTACAGGCATGCCCCACCACGGCCGGCTAATTTTGTATTTTTAGTCGAGACGGGGTTTCTCCTTGTTGGTCAGGCTGGCCTTGAACTCCTGACCTCAGGTGATCCACCCACCTCAGCCTCTCAAAGTGCTGCGATTATAAGCGTGAGCACAGGCGTCCCAGCAGGACGCAGATTTAACATGACGTTAGAAAACAAAATTGTGCTAAAAGCTCAGAGAGACAGAGAGGGAAAGGTGGAATTGGAATGTGAAAATAAGAACTAAGTGGCCGGTCGATGTGACTCACACCTGTAATCCCAGCACTTTGGGAGGCCAAGGCAGACAGATCACCTGAGGTCAGGAGATTGAGACCAGCCTGGGCAACACAGTGAAACCCCACCTCTACTAAAAATACAAAAATTAGCCAGGTGTTGTGGCGTGCACCTGTAATCCCAGCTACTTAGGAGGCTGAGGCAGGAGAATCGCTTGAACTTGGGAGGTGGAGGTTGCAGTGAGCTGAGATTGTGACACTGTACTCCAGCCTGGGCAATCGAGTGAGACAGAGTCTCAAAAAAAAACAACTAAGCAAATACAGGCTGGGCGAGGTAGCTCACGCCTGTAATCCCAGCCAGCACTGTGGGAGGCCGAGGCAGGTGGATCACCTGAGGTCAGGCGGTCAAGACCAGCCTGGCCAACATGGAGAAATCTCGTCTCGGCCGGGCACGGTGGCTCACGCCTATAATCCCAGCACTCTGGGAGGCCGAGGCTGGTGGATCACGAGGTCAAGAGATCGAGACCATCCTGGTCAACATGGTGAAACCCCGTCTCTACTAAAAATACAAAAAATCAGCTGGGCATGGTGACGCATGCCTGTAATCCCAGCTACTCAGGAGGCTGAGGCAGGAGAATTGCCTGAACCCAGGAGGCGGAGGTTGTGGTGAGCCGAGATTGCGCCACTGCACTCCAGCCTGGGAAACAAGAGTGAAATCCGTCTCAAAAAAAAAAATGTTTATCATTGACTTACTTTTCCGCTTTACTACCCTCTGAGCTCGAAATCTGATGAGGGTATCCAAAAACCATATGCACCGGGCCTGACGGTCTCGGCTCTCCACATTTGATGGCAAAGACTTCAGTGCGTCTATGACGAACGTGCAATGGCTAAAACAAGGAAAAGAAAGGGAGGCCTGTGTCAGGGTAAGATGTGCAGTCAGGAACTATTTCCCTCTTACAATGAGAATAGCAGGCACCTGTCACCCCTGACACACACAACACCTGATGAAAGCCTGGGCAACACTGCAAGATCCCAGCTCCACAAAAAAATTAGCCAGCATTGGTGGCATACGCCTGTGGTCCCAGCTACTCGGGAGGCTGAGGCAGGAGGATCACTTGAGCCTGGGAGATCAAGGCTCCAGTGCACTGTGTTTGCGCCACTGTACTCCAGCCTAGGTGACAGAGCAAGACAAAAAAAAAAAAAAAACGAACAAAAGCAGCTGATGAAGGACCAGCAGCACACTCAACATTCCTTATAACAGAAGGAACACGGTTTAGAACAAGGATTGATAAAGGGCTAGACAGTAAATATTTTAGGCTTTGGAAGCCACACAACCTCTGTTGCAAATACTTGACTCTGCCATTGTAGTGCAAAAGCAGCCACAGATATTACTTAAGTAAATGAACAGGGCTGTGCTCCAATAAAACTTTATTTATATGTTACTTATTCACAGGCAGCAGGCCAGACTTGGCATGTGGGCCATAGTTTGCTGACCTCTGTTTTCACAGTCAGGAGCATAGAGTCTGCAGGCCCCCTTCCTGGGTTTCAGTCCTTTCTCTGCCATTTAATGACTTGGGCAAGTTTCTTGACATCTAGTGCCCTGGTTTCTCCACCTATAAATTAGGGCCAGTGATAGTACAGGTACTCTCCTCCTAAGGATTTTTTTCTGGATGAAAACAGACAATGCCAGTAAAGCACTTAGAACAGTGCTTGGCACAAATGGAAGGGCTCAGTCAATGCTCACCATTATTTTCATGCAGTTCTACTGCTAGCAAGACCCTGGACTCACAGAGATAAAAAGGGTCTTCAAGATCATTTCATAGCTGCCTCATTTTACAGATGGAAAAACTGAGGCTTCAAGAGGGAAGATTAGGGCAGAGCTCGAGGACTGTTTTCAGACTCCCAGCTCAGAGCTCATTCCTGCACCTGCCCCTGAGTTACCATTGCATTAAGACAACTACGAACTAGTAATGAGCTCTTCTTTGGAAATAAATCTTTGAAGCAAAAAAAAAAAAAAAAAAAAAAAAAAAAATGTAATAATAATAATTCCAAGGCACTGGAAAGGCACTGGACTTCACTGACCAGTAAAATTTTAAAACAAAAATTGGAGGAACAAACCTCAGAATTACAATTCTTCATTAAAATGAAATTATTAAAAGAAAAAACCCAAAAGCAAAAAAACTCACCATCATCATAAAAGAAGCTGTTTTAATGTGAAAAGGGGATGAAGAAGGAAATAACCTCTGAATTATTTAAAATATACACTATTTTAAATACATAAATTTAACGTTAGAAAAGCCCGCCTAGCATATCCTCACAGAGAAACCATCACTTTGGCCAGCACTCATTCCCAGGCCAGCATTTGGGCCCTACCAGTGACAATCAGCATCAGCATGACACTGGGTGACGCACAGGCAGCTCTGGTTCCCAGCCCCGGAGTAGAAGGCCTCACCAACTTCTGTCCCAAGCATTCAGAGACCAACCCTCTCCCTTGAATGTGACCCACAGCTCCTGGAAGTCCAAACATTCAAGAAAACACTGGCTTATTCATGTTCAAATGCTGAACAGACAAACCTGCTCACTGACTGACACCGAAAGGACCTGCTCAGTGTCTGACTACTGTTGTGTCCCAACAGCACTCCCCGGAGCCCCCATCTGCCCAAGTCAGGGTACCTGTTCTCCTCAATCATCTTCAGTATTTCTTCTGATGTGATGTTCCTGAAAGCTTCAGATGGACTCTGAAGAGCTTCATACTCCGCAGGGGAAAGAACTAGTTACAGGTCAAGAATATAATCCAACCAAAATAGAAACATCCAACTAGCTTGATCATCTTTTTCACAGACAGGGAAACTGAGGCTCAGAGTGGCAATCACACAGGGCAGATCACGTAAGGGCTGAGCTCGGTGACTCCGTTCTCAGACTCCCAGCCCAGCGCCCATTCCCTGCCCAGCCTTTTCTGCCTTTTCTCATCACAAAGCCACTGCAGGCCTTTTCCTTCTGACTGGACCCATAGAGTGGTGAAATTCTAAGCTCCAACCCTTCCTCTTACAAAACTGGTCTGCCCTAGACTCTGGGCATCTACTGCAAGGATACGATCTTCAAATTTATACACGTCTTCAGGCTTGGCTGCATCATCATAGCAGGGAGGAAGGTACAGGGAGTCATCTTGCAAGTCATTGTGGATAGCATCACTGACCAGAGCTTTTCAATAAAGAAACAATCCATGTATCACCCTGTTTGCTTCAGGTTCGACAACATTCCTAAGTCTGTGCACCTGAGACCACAAATGGTCTGGAAACCCCGAGTCTCAATGCATCTGGCAAAGTGACCTGGCCTCCCCATCAGGCTGCCTGCTTCAGGACTGCCATCTTCACTCATGAACAAACACGAGCTAGGCACTGGAGAAGGTGGAAGTGGCAAAGTTCTCCTCAAGTAACTTACAGTAGAGTTGGGAGAGACAGCTGTGCTAACAACCATTACAATACAAAATGAAAAAGTGAAGGGCATCCAAAATAGCCTTTAAAGGCTTAACTTCTAATATTTTGCCACACATTGTAGGCAAAAAAAACCTTTCAGAATATAACACTAACTGCCCTACAGGAATAACTACATGGCCAGGTGTGGTGGCTGGCTCACACCTGTAATCCCAACACTTTGGGAGGCCATGGTGGGAGAAGGGCTTGAGCCCAGGTGTTTGAGACCAGCCTGGGCAACATGGCAAGACCCCGTCTCTCCAAAAGACACCTGTGGTGCCAGCCACTGGGAGGCTGAAGCAGGAGGATCACTTGAGCCCAGGAGTTTATGGCTGCGGTGAGCCATGTCTGTACCACTCCACTCCAGTCTGGGTGATACAATACAGCAAGATCCCATCTCCAATACATACATACATACCTACCTACCTACCTACATACATACGTACATACATACATAAATTTGTAAACATGTTAAAATGTATATAATCATAGGGTATGGAAAGATATTCCAAAAATTACTAGAATTCCATTCTTAATAGAAAAACTGCCCTGCCCACAGTAACAGTGGTTTGTGCCTATAATCCTAGCGACCTGGAAGGCTGAGGCAGGAGGACTGCTTGAAGCCAAGAGTTCAAGTTCAGCCTGGGCAACAAAGCAAGACCTCATCTCTGAAAACAGTAAAAAGAAAGCTGCTCTTATATAAACTTGCTCTTACGTTCTTATAACATATTTGAACAATAAATACTTTTTTTTTTTTTTTCTGAGATGGGAGTTTCATTCTCGTTGCCCAGGCTGGAGTGCAATGACGAGATCTCAGCTCACTGCAACCTCCGCCTCCCAAATTCAAGCAATTCTCCTGCCTCAGCTTCCCGAGTAGCTGGGATTACCAGCATGTGCCACCACGCCCAGCTAATTTTGTGTTTTTAGTAGAGACGAGGTTTCTCCATGTTGATCAGGCTGGTCTCAAACTCCTGACATCAGATGATCTGCCCGCCTCAGCCACCCAAAGTGCTGGGATTACAGGCGTGAGCCTAAAATTAAAATTTAATTGTATTTTAAAATACAATTGTATTTTAATTTTAAAATTTATTTAAAATAAATTTTAAAATACAATTAAATACTCCAGCTGCTGAATACCAGAAAAAGAGCCACCAATCCCAAAGTGAAATGCCACCTCTGGAGGCTCATTTCCATCAACACATCAGCCTTTTTGACCAAAGCTTCCCTACAGCTCACAAGGAGACCTGAGGCCTTCTCCCTCCTCTGTGCCCTGCAGGCCGTAACCCCAGCACCATGACCAAAGCATGCACGTATCCATCCCGTGCCTGTCCCTGTGCTTGACTGTGAGATCACTAGAGGACAAGGCCATGTCGGATGTTTCTTATTACTTCCAGAGCCTGTCTCTGAGAATGCCTTCAGTAAGAGGCAGAAAGGAATCCAGCCCTAGCTCCCAGCATTCCATCTGTGGGTGGGTAAAAGATCTCAAGAGAAGAGAAAGCTGTCATTATGGGCAGACTCTTACCCCAAGTTCCAAATGCTTACCAGTCACACCCTTTGTATCAATGATAGTCTCTGCAGCTTTAGCCACTGCACGATTCAAAGAATCACCGCCAACTTTGTTCATTCTTCTGGCGTTCAGAGCTCGTTTCTGTTTGGTGGTACCAAAGGCTTCAATACAAGAATCCATCTGTGTAAAAGATAAACCTGGTTACCGGAGACAGGACAAACAGGCACTGCTCCTTCTAGCTGTGTCACTATGGGGACACTCTCAGCATCCTGGAGCCATCACTACCTCACCTGTGAATAAGGCTGAATCACACCTATTTACCTCACAGGACTGCTGTAAGCACCAAATGCTATTAACAGACTGACCAATCAACAACATCTCCATCAGTAAAATAAAAAGACTTGACTAAAATTAGGGCTGGTAAATCTGTAGCACACAGCTTGCCATTCTCCCATCTTATATCCATAACAGACAGGGCTAAGAGGTCACTGACTCCTTCCCTCTGAGCCAAAAGGTAGCCTCACATCCCTTCTCAATACAGTGCTCCAGGTAGCACCAGAGATTCAATCAATTTGCCATCTTTGGGTGAGATAACCTTTACAAGGACCTTCTACACTGAAAATCCTAAAGTTTACTTTGTTTTAACATGAAAGTTTTCAGGCTACAACCAATATATTCTAAAACTTGGACAAAATCCTAAAAATAAGCATCATGCTACACCTGTATCAGCCCCGAGAACCAACACCAAACACTGGCACAGAGCTGTGTGCCCCAGATGGGAGAGGGACTGTTCTCTGTGGGCCAAGAAGGCTTCTGCAGGTGCAAACTAACTGTCCAGAGAAACAGACTGAATGAGCTGGGAGCAGCCAGGAAGACCCTTGAGTTCAATAAGCTCATTTTAATGATGGAAAAACCAAGGTATAGAAGGAACTTGCTTAAGGTCCCACATCTTCATTTTCTCACACTCACCTTTTCTCTGTAAGTTTTGGTCTGACTCTCTTGTACCAGTTCACTCTCAATTGATTCATCTATCAAAACAGACAAAAACAGACAGAAAGAAAAGTCAAGTGGAAGGCTTACAAATAGTGTTTAATATTCATTTGTCTATCTAAGAATAATAGATTTTTTTACTACAGGACTTCCCTGAGCCTAACATGAGTATATACTGTGAATATTTAATATGCAGCTTTAGTATACAATTAAAGAACTTGGAGAATAAATGAGAGAGTCAAATGAAGGGGTCATCCGGCCCAACCTCTTCATTTTAGAAATGACTCGCCCCAGGTCAGTTCACCAGGTGGTGGGAGACAGGATTAGAAAACAAGTCCTTGGCTCCTTTTGCTTTCTTGGTGAAAGACCTAAAAAGCAGGCATGAACATGAGGTATGTGGTGGTATTTATACGATGCTCTCTAATTATCTACAAATTACTCAAATTAGGGGCAGTAGAACCTAGTAGACAACAGCACAAGCTCTCAAGTGGCCTTGCCTGTTATCTCAGACATCACCCATGACAAGGTCATCTAACCTCTGTGCCAGTTTCATCATTGGTTAAAAAGAAAAACAACAGTACTTACTCCAGAAGGTTGCTGTGTGCATCGAAAGTGCTTAGAACAGTGACTAGCACATAATAAGGACTTAAGATAAATGTTATCTGTGTGTGTGTACTAGCTAGAATAAACTCCTATTTACAAATTTCTTACATGTAAAAACAAAAATCTGTTTAATCAACACGTTAAATTACAATTTTCCTTGCCTCCTTGGATTTTATAAGAACAATTGGAGGATGACTTAAATATAGTTATATATGTTTGCAAAGCAGGGGGACCCCTAGGAAATTCACAGATGGGTGTCAGGACTCAAGAGCCCCTTAAAATTATGTGTAAAATTTAGCCAGGCACACTGGCTCACACCTGTAATCCCAGCACTTTGGGAGGCTGAGGTGGGTGAATCACTTGAGGCCAGGAGTTTAAGACCAGCCTGGCCAACGTGGTGAAACCCCATTTCTACTAAAAATAAAAAAATTAGCCAGGCATGGTAGCACGCACCTATAACCCCAGCTACTCAGGAGGCTGAGGCAGGAGAATCACTTGAATCTGGGAGGCGGAGGCTTCTGTGAACCCAGATGGCGCCACTGCATTCCAGCCTGGGTGACAAAGTAAGACTCGGTCTCAAAAAAAAAAAAAAATTAGGTGTAAAATTCCGTATTTTAAAAAATCCCATATATATATTTGTGTGTTATATATGTTTCTCAGAAGTAGGTCCAGGTCCTCATCAGATTCTCTAAAGGGGTGGAAGCACTGTTTTGAGAGAATAAAGCTGGAAGTACTGCCTCTGAGGTATCAGGCAGATTCACAATGATCCCAGTGATTCTTATCTACTACCCTATCCTGCCATGGTTCTCAATATGTAAGGGCATCACTAAGGATTCAAGTTCTGAGATTTAGGGAACAGAAGCTCCTTAAGTGTGACCCTCTTCTTTATTATTTTGGAAGGTCTCACTCTAGTCCTGAGCATTCTAAGATGACAAAGCAGAGAAGCAATGTAAATTCTTCCACTAGATTAGGGAAAAAAATAGATCTCCCCCAAATTAGTGAGGAGACTTGTCCTCAACATCAAAGTTACTATACAACCTAATAAACAATTTTTTGTCTACCAGAAATTCTAAAACCTCTTCATCCTAACTATAACGGTTAAGAATTAAGAAAGGTCTTTGATGGAAAAGATTTGATATCAGACATGTCCTTTAATATTCTGCTCTGATCATTGCACAGCTTGCTTTTATGAACCTCCCACCTCAAGTCTCTAAACACCACGGGGACAGGATCTGTGCCTTGCTTACTGCCATATCCACAGCCTCATGCCTGGTGCAGGAGATCATCAATAAGTGCATGCTGAATACAAACCTCTAGGCCAGGCATTATCCCAGCACTGTGGGAGGCTGAGGCAGGTGGATCACCTGAGGTCAAGAGTTTGAGACTAGCCTGGCCAACATGGTGAAACCCCGTCTCTACTAAAAATATAAAAGTTGGCCGAGTGTGGTGGCATGCGCCTATAGTCCCAGCTACTCAGGAGGCTGAGGCAAGAGAATTGCTTGAACTTGGGAGGTGGAGGTTGCAGTGAGCCGAGATTGCACCACTGTGCTCCAGCCTGAGCAACAGAGTGGGACTCCATCTCAAAAAAAA